CGGATCGGGTATCGGTCAGAGAGAGCCGATCCAAATCCGAGAATTATGTTATTATTATTTTTTTTTTTTCGATTGTGCGAATGATTCTGTGTTACTTCTGAAGCCATACAATAGCTTAATAATCGGTATCGGAGGCGAAAAAGGCAGATCGGAGCATCCCTAGTTGAGTGTAGTACTCCCAAAGTGCACTTCTTACTCTGTGCATCCATCTACAATAAGGGTAATATAAAGAGAGAGTTAAAAGTGGGGCCACTGTATGCTTCATGATTAAGCCTATGAATACTGTACTACAGCTAAACAGCTTGGGGAAATGTAAGTATTTGGCTTCAATAATTTACATGTTAGAAATGTATGTGTAATAGCATAACCTCTCATAATTCCTCATTAATTCTTTTCTGATGGCTAAAACATACATAACCTACAATAGTAGAGGTGATTATTCAATTCATCATCTAATGCACATCAATGGATTAACTTAAATTAAAAAGTATAATATATGTAAATAATTTAATGGTCTTCATAGCTATATTGTAGAAGTTGTTAAGTAGACTGCAACTATTTTCATGAAACTGTAACACTAATAGCCTTTTACAGGCACACTTAGTTCAGTAGCCTATTGAAATGTCTTGGCCTATGTGACACTAGAAATTTCAGTTAGTTTCAAAATTAAGAATAACAAGGGCTCTGACAAAAACTGCCTTCCCTGGTGTTGGTTGAGTGTAGTACTCCCACAGTAAACTCTTTATTTTTTGGCAAACAAAGGGGTTACTATTAAAATTAAAACATGGAAGAAATAGAGTATTGTGTGATTATTCTTTTAAACAAAGTTCTAATAATTGTTGTAGTAGTAGGGGAGCGCGGGGCATAAAGTAACGCGGGGTTAGTTGTAACACACGTGGTTTGAATATTTCCACACATGCTAGCATAACAATTTACAGTATTTATTAACTCCAAAATCAGATTATTTTTAATTCTTAAAAAACGCCATTATTTTATTTGAAAAAAAAGTATTATTTTATTTTATTAACAAAATATTTTAGTGTGTCTTGTATATTTTTTTCATTCGATCAGATAAGATTTTAAGCTGTCATATGGTCAAGTTACAACGTGCCCCTCAGATGTTACAATGTGTTCCACCTACGGGGCATGTTGTCACATTTCACTTCCATTTTTTGAGGGTAAATAAAGAAAAACGTATACACTGTAACTATGAAACAAGGCAACATATTTGTACTAGACACGTGTAAAATTACTGTGGATAAAAAAATATATATTCTTAACCCTATGTGGATTTACACAAACTGAGAAAGTCAAAAAGTGTTACTTTGTGCCCTGCTCCCCTATTATGTATATCATACTGCACCACAGTAATACAGTTCTGATAATTTCTTTAAGTTAACCCGAATTTATATTTTGACGGGTTGCCATGAGGAACTTTTAAGTTTCTGTAGCCTATGTACGTGTTTCCCATACATTGATTTATTTATTTGTGGCGCCCGTCACAATATCAAAACTGACCGCCACAAACAGATTTTCCAAAAGGCTTCGACTTCGTTGAATAAACATGAGCACTGCACGTTTCAAAATTGAAACCCGGTGCGGGTGTTTTTATATCACTGCATTTCTGAAGGAAACCGACTGTCTTCAGAAAATTTTCGGATGTCATTTTCATTTCATCTAGCATGTAATATCTGATAAAGCAGCGTTTGTGAGCGGAGCTTTGTGTACAGCGTTACCGGGGAAACCTCGATCTCTGCCACTCCAACAGCACCTCCTGCTGGCAGAGAATGAGTTAGCATATATATGCCGCCACAAATAGAGTGAGTCTGTGGGAAATATTGCGATAGTTTTAATCAAATGAAACTGTCAAATGATCATGAAGTGACTCTTAGAGGGAGTCAGAGCAGTTCTGGAGATGTTGTTCATGTATTTATGTCCTCATTATAGTGATACGACAGAAGCTGAAATCACTTTGTATGTGTAGAAAACAAAACCGCTCGTCTGTGCCATGTACATACACAGAGCCACGCAGAACATGCTGGATTAATTTAAATAGTATTTTTGTGGCTTATTTATGTTGCCAAGATTTAATAACAGCTTGCTTAATAATTGTTTTTGCTTCTGCTTTGCTGATTTTTACATCAATTTCTACATTATTTTTATTCAATGATCTCTTAGCATGTTTATCTGCCATCTCGTTCCCATCTATTCCAACATGTGCTGGGATCCACAAAAACGAAACAACCCTGTCATGAGCATGAAGTCTATATAGCAGTTGCATGATTTCTATAATAATATCTTGTCTGCAATTTGATTGTCCCGACTGAATACTTCTTAGAGCCGCCAGTAAATCGGAGCATAAAACTGCTTTCTTAGTATGTGTGTCTTCCAACCAATGTAAAGCTAAAACAATAGCAATCAACTAGTCTGGTGTTCTTTTTGCAATAATTACTTCTTGTTGTGGTATGACTATTGCTATTCCTGTCTTATTAGATTCAGGATCTTTTGATCCATCCGTATAAATTTGTATAGGCACAGCATCACTATATTTCCTATTCACTAAATCCATTGTTTGTGCCATTTCTTCTGCTATCCAACCAATGCTTTTTATATTTGCTCTCTCATGTTCCCAGCATTCTACAAAAATCACCTTAGTTGGATTTTTACTGTTGTGGCCTTTTAAAGATACCCAGTGAACCATTTTTAACTGCATACGTCTTTCTTCTAATGGCATTTCACCCATTTCTACCTCCTCTCTCATGTTCCCAGCATTCTACAAAAATCACCTTAGTTGGATGTTTACTGTTGTGGCCTTTTAAAGATACCCAGTGAACCATTTTTAATTGCATACGTCTTTCTTCTAATGGCATTTCACCCATTTCTACCTCCAGTGCAGCTTTGGGTGATGTTCTAAATGCTCCGCAGCATATTCTCAAAGCTTGTGTCTGCACCTTGTCAATTTTTTTCAGTACATGCTGGCTTGCTGATCCGTATGCCATACATCCATAATCAATTGCCGACCTAATAACTGCCAGATATATGTTTCTGAGAGAACTACGGCTAGCCCCCCATTCACTACCCGCTAAACATCTCATAACATTCAGTGCTTTCTTACATTTAGTCAATAATTTTTCTATATTAAACTTCAGTTTCTCATCTAACCACACTCCAAGAAACCTTACCACTGATACCTGCTCCAATTGTTTTCCATAAAGAGATAACTTAATGCGAACATTTCTCTTCTTTGTGTTTTCTCTAGATATTCTAAAGCCCCACTTCTTTGCCCACTCTTCAACTTTGTTTACTGCCTGCTGAACTTTCTTAACTGTATACGTTATATTTCTACCTCTTTTCCAAAGTGCACCATCATCTGCATACATTGACTTCCCCAATCCTTTTTCCACATCATTAAACATATCATTGATCATTATATTAAATAGAAGGGGACTACAAACACTTCCTTGTGGAGTCCCATTTTCAACTGCATAAACCCTGGAGTATGATGTTCCCAGTCTAACCTGAATTGTCCGGTCAGATAAACTTATTTGAACTGGTTGCACGGATTTAAACACTGCTTAATGGTTAAAACACAAACCTTTCTTCAGGCGAATCGCAACAGATGCAGGAGCGCCGCGCAGCCTTATGACATCACATCGCCAGATCAAAATAAAAGTCATTTTCTTCTTCTTGCATTTGCAACTTGAAATTATTGCATACCGCCACCTACTGTACAGGAGTGTGCAGATAGGCACACATACTTTACTTAATAATAAAAAATAAAAAAATCACACATTTCCTATTATTATTGATCCTGAATTTTTAAGGAATATTAATAGAGCTTTGAGTCTGTTTCTTTCCATCCCTTGTTCTCTAACAATATCTTCAATTTCATTTTCATCTTCCATTTCTGTCTGTATTCATGGTATTTAATGTATCTAAATAAGACATGTTCTACATCTTCCTTAGTTTGACATCTTGTGCATAGTCCATTACTCTTCCCTACTATCTGCAGTGTGTCATTCAGTCAAGTATGACCTAGTCTTAACCACTTATTTTCGCCTGTTTGCCATAGCTATCCTTTTCCCTCCATTTATTTGATTTGTGTGATAGTGTTTAGCTTTAGACTCAGACTCCCATTCTTTTTGCCATATTTGCATTATTTCATATTTGATCTTGGCTTTATCCTCGCCTTTCTTCTTCTTCTTCTTTTATTTTACTGGCGAACTGATGTCATGACTCATGAGCACATGCTGCCACCTACTGTTAAAGGTCCACACACAAAAATCACAAAAGTGCATAGAAATGTATATAAAATGACATAAATTACATAATGTCAGAGGTATTCAGAGTTGAATTCTTGACTGAATGCATGTTTAAACATATGCTGTTAAAAGATGAGCTGAAAATAACAACTGATGAAATGTTTGTTCCACGTCTAATATGTGAAATTCCTTCTAAAGAAAAAATTGTAAGGTTTAGTTGCAGAACTATTTATACCATGAGTTAGGAATATATGAGAGATTTTCAGATGTCCACTTGATTAGATAGTATATGTTTTTGTTTTTAATTGAAGAGATGATGTTTTAATCATAATAAATGATACAGTAATATTGTATGAAAATGTAAAATGTAAAAATGACTTTCTTTTCAGGCTCACTGACCAAAAACACCTGTGTGCCCTTTACTCCTGAAAGTACTAACTTTTAAAGGCAGGGTAGGTGATTTAGTTCAAAAACAATTTTTGTTATGCTGGTTGAAATTCTCTTCACATCCCTGATAGAAATCACTAAGTTAAGTGGTAAATGTATTTATAAATATTTATATTGTCTGTGGAAGGCGTAGGACCATAAAATGTTCATCCAAACATAGGGCTACGATAGGCTGTCCTGCCTGTCAACGGATGTATTTGCATACCTCAAGTCAAGTCAAGTAGCCTTTATTTATATAGCACTGCAAACAATACGGATTGTGTCAAAGCAGAGGTGATAATGCATGAGGACAATAGAAAACAATCAGTTTATCAGTTAAAGTGAGTTCATTGTTCTTACCTCCGCGCACCCTGTTCGCGCAGACATGATACATAATCAGCGCATTCATTACGCTATTACAGACCGAGCGAGCATGGAAGGCGTTATTTTTATAATATTATGCGCTTTGTATTGTAATGTTTTCTCACCGGTGAATGAGACATGAGGTAATCTGACTATGTTGATGCCATCTCTCATCGTGTTGCTGGTTAGCCTCTGGTCTGCCTTGCGTATTCATGTATTTTGGAGGAGGCGTGGCTTTGGTGAGTGATTTGCAGGGAGGGATGGATCTTATACTTTCAAAGCTAGCTTTATTGCTAGCCTCTCTGAAATCACCTAGCCTACCTTTAAAAAGGGAATAAGATTGAAAAACATTTGAGGCAGTGGAAGAGTCATCTATAAATGATTCCTAGATTCCTAGAAAAGCAATTTAGCGAGGTTTTAATATTTGTCACATTTTTTTTTTTGATGCACATGAAAGTTAACAATATCCAAAGCCTCATAAAATTCAGAGGGTCAAAAACAGTAGGACAAAAACACTTATGAACAAAAACATTTACAAAAAAAATATTGTCATACTAACATATTAACATACCTGAACATAAATTGTGTAAATATCAGAAAATATCAATTGAATCAAACAATAAATAAGTCACATATCAAAATACACTAGCCTACTGACAAACATTTTGCCGTACTGAGACAGCTTGGTAGAGTTACTCTGAAAAATGTAGCTGCAAGCAGAGACATCAAAAGTGTTTAGTGATGGAGGGTCCCTATAGAACAGGTTTGAAAAGTATTGTCTAAAGTGAATTAAATGATACAAGCACTCGCAATATTGTCTTGTTTTTTTGGCTTAAAACTTAGTGGCAACCCTGCAATTACAACTCGACACTGTATATCTCACAACTATTATTATTATTATTTACTTTATGTTGCATTTCCTATTGTGTCTGTATAAAAGCTTTTGAAAAAAAAAAAAAAATACAAATAGGACAACTGCTGACAATTACTTTATTGCATTTCTAAAAATGACCAAGAATAACTTGTACAGGTGTGGCATATCAAGATGCTGATTAGACAGCATGATTATTGCACAGGTGTGCCTTAGGCTGGCCACAATAAAAAGGCCACTCTAAAATGTGCAGTTACTGTCTAATCAGTATCTTGATATGCCACACCTGTGAGGTGGATGGATTATCTCGGCAAAGGAGAAGTGCTCACTAACACAGATTTAGACAGATTTGTGAACAATATTTGAGAGAAATAGGCCTTTTGTGTACATAGAAAAAGTCTTAGATCTTTGAGTTCAGCTCATGAAAAATGGGGGCAAAAATAAAAGTGTTGCGTTTATAATTTTGTTCAGTGTAGTTAAAAAATAAAATGATACAAACCAGTATAACCATCTCATTATTATAAATTAACTGTTATTTGTAATTGTAAGTGAATGTAATTTAAAACTTGACTTGAAACTTACTTGAAAAGACGTTTAGTTCAAATGTTTACTTAAATAACTGCCATTGCAGATTGTATAAAATATGCATGAAATAAGACATTTTTGCATCACTGTAGTCTAGAGATGAAATGGTATGAAAATTTATTATCATGATTATAGTGACCAAAATTATCATGGTTATCAGTATTATCACGGTATTGTTAACGTGCTGACACATAAATCGTTTCACCAAGTTTTATATTTAAAATTAACAAACAACAAATTAAACTACTTTTTGTTTGCATAAACACTAAAACAATAACGTTACCAATGATGTCTGGATTTTAAATGACAACATGACTGACAACAGTTTATCTTATAGCTTTGAAAAAGTTTCATAAAATGATAAACCTCACATTTCAGCCTTTAAATAAAGAAAAGGGTTAAGTAAAAATGATAATTGATTAATAAATGGTTATATGTTTTTTTTTATCTGCTCCATAAATAATTCTATAGATTACTTATCCGAATTGTTTAGCTTGTTTTTCATCAGCTGGTCAAAATTTACACCAGGGCATGCAAATTCGGTCAGTTTTTTGGCCAGACAAAAACTGCACACAGGCTGAATGTAAATGTAACTCTCTGTAAATCCACTCGTGAGACATTTGAGACTGTTACTTAATGCTTTATGCTGGACATTATTTATTTATCCTGAGTCGTTCAAATCGCGGTAATCGAATACAGTTTTAATGATAATTAAAATATGAAACGGTAATACTAACTGTGGGAAATGTTATCATGATTTATTGTTAAAAAATCAGTAATCGTTTCATCCCTACTCTAGTCATTGCAATTGAGTTAAATTTTAACTGAGTAGTATTAAAAGTGACCTATTATGCCCCTTTCTACAATATGTGATGTAAGTCTCAGGTGTCCCCAGAATGTGTCTGTGAAGTTTCAGCTCAAATACCCCACATATAATTTATTATATCATTTTGCAAATGCCTATTTTGAGTGGAAGCAGAAACACACAGTTTTCGTGCCTGTATCTTTAAATGCAAATGAGCTGCTACTTCCCGCCCCCTTTTCCAGAATAGAGCTGTCTTTACAGCTCGTACGTCAGATAAAAAAATAAATGAAAAAAATGGTTTTGATTATAATGTATATCGCGCTGAAATCGTTTTAAAGCCATATCAGTTTAAACTTCTAATTTAGAGCGCACACATCCGAAGCACGCGCACAGAAAGCGGCTGTCACACGGCATGTGAGAAATAAACTAAGTTCTCTTTCATGTCTTATTACGCTTAAACTGTCAAATACACACAAGTTTATGTTAAAAACACATGAGTCACAAAACCAGTCGGTTATGTCTGTGAAGGTAAACAGCTGGGAAAGAAATCACATGTTTATTTTAGATCTGTGTGGCAGCAGCGTAATATACAGTAATTAAATAAATAAATCCACTGCTTTCTTGTTTCCTCTGAGGCTGGGACTCTAAATAGTGTTCTGTGCTCGTCTGTGCAGCCAAAGACAGAACAGTTAGCATGCTTTGGTCGAACTTTTGCCATGGCGCTAGAACTGGTACAACCGTTGTCGCTTGCAAAAATACAATAGCGGGGGTGGAAACGTGCAGATCAAGGGGCGGTGATATTATAATACGATTCCTTTGCCACGTCACAGAGGGAGCGAATGCTGACGTGCTCATTTTTTCAGACGCTTGCAGAAAAAGGCTTACCAAAACAAAGTTACTGGGTTAATGTTTTTCACATTTCCTGGGTTGGTAGATGCACCGGGGACCTGATTATAGCACTTAAACACGGACAAAGTCAGATTTTCGTGATATGTCACCTTTAAATTGGCAGGCTCAATTGAGTAATATGTACACATTATCTTGTGAATACCTGCAGAAAGTGCAATGAAGTGTGCATTTAGCGAGCACATAAAATAATGAAAATGGAGTAAATGGATTTTCCAAGTCCTATTTACTAAATGTTTGTGTCAACTAATTATTATTATTTTTTATTCATATTATATTGTGAATAGGCTATTTAATTTTTGTGAAATAATGACATTAAACTCGCAGTTAAGAAATTATCAGACACTGGTTTTGGTTGCACTGAAGGATTCAGAGGAAAAACTCATTTTTACAAATTAACCATTATACTTCTAGAGTTATAGGCAAAAATATCTTATCTTGTTGCCAA